AGATTTAAATTTAACCTTTTTGTTCTACATGCTTAAACAAAATATTTCTAGGTAAAAATTATCGTTGAAAAAGGTTTAAAATTTTGAAATTCTTGATAGGACTTTTTTCGGGCCATAGCGAGCGTGGGCGCTTCGTACTTCCGGTAGTTGTGATATACTTAGTGCACTTCTCCAAAAGTTGCTCTAGCATCACTGAAAATTTCAAGCTTCTGTGTTACGTGCTTTTTGAGAAAAGTGCCGGACAAAGTGACCCTCTAAAAATCACTAAATAGCAGAAAACTCCGAAACCGGAAGTGACGTCATCAAAATAAAAAAATATATATCTAGATTTGTTGATGTTCTATCAGACCTGAAAGTTTCATGAAAATCGATCGAGCCGTTCTCGAGAAATCGCGCGTACAAAATCGGTAAGAAAAAAAAACAATAATAATAAAAATAGTGGAAAAGAAACCTAAGAATAACAAGAAGGTCTTCCGCTGAAGACGGAAGACCTTAATAAAAGTGAAAAAGAAACCTAAGAATAACAAGGTCTTCTAATAATAAAAAGAAACAGTAGAATCACTATAAGGTCTTCCGTCTGAAACGGAAGCCCTTTAATAATAACTAGATGAGATTTCATTGCAAGCAACGAGTAGGTCTTCCGTTCGACTTTTGATAAGGTTATAAAACAACTTAAATGAAAAAAAAGGTTCAGATCAATTATTCAAAATACGTGAGAACACATTTAAGAGTGAAATCTATCAATTTCAAACAACTTCCGGTCTTTATAATTCATTTCCCTTTTTTAAACCGGAAGTACTTAAAATGACTTATTACTCCTTTTTAAGTGTGAAGGAAACATCCTTGATAATTTCAATGAAAAATGCTCATTTTTTGGACTACTTCCGGTTTGATAAAAATAACTTCCGGTGGACATAATATAACTGAGACACTCTATTTGCCTCCATAAGAAACATTTAAAAAAGAGAAAAATAAAATTTTGCATATTTTTAAACTACTTCCGGTGGACGACGGACGCGACGGCAACAAAAACCATATATCCTTCTCAAATCTAGGAGTCATAAACATCATCCCTGAAAGTTTCAGGACCCAATCTCCAATCGTTTTGAGAACACTTCGGACAAAATGACACTTTAAAAACAGAAAAATGGCTATATCTCGCGACCGGAAGTGACGACGGCAAAATAAAAAAAAATGCATAAAGTTCAAGTAGTTTCCTATTACTGCTGAAAGTTTCATGAAAAACTATCGAGGCGTTCTCGAGAAATTGCCTGCACAAAGTGGTAAGAAAAAAAAAAAATAATAGTGGAAAAGAAACAACAGAATCATAGAAGGTCTTCCGTTGGAGACGGAAGACCTTAATAATAATAAGAAACCGAGTAAAAACAATATGTTCCCAAACTCCGTTTTTGGGGGAAAATAATTAACGTAATTAGAATTGCCAGAAAATCAAGGGTTGTACAACTTATATCTGTTTACCTGTACCACATGCATACTAAAATCACAAGTGCATACTCGGTGAATCGTGTAGTGTTTAAAATTATATCATCTTCTGAAAAATCTGACAGTTTTGCTTTATATATGCATAATCTTGATTTGCCAATCAGCGCTCAGGCCCAGCGTCTGTCTCGACATCTATCCCGCCACGCACGTGATTTTCCTTAACCGCGACTACCTTTAAACCAGTGCATTCTAAATGTAAATATTATAAGGTGAAAGCAATTCTCAAAATCAAAATATCTTTAATTTTCGATAGATTAAAAATCGTTAACATTGTAGTCTCCTTAGACGGATTTCACAGAATTAAGTACGTTTTGTGTCTTGGGGTATAGGGTGGGGGAAGGGAAAACCCGCCATGGGCAAAATGTAAAAAAAATATTTTTTCATTCCATTAAATTTGATCCAAATGGCAATAATTTTTAAATGTCATAAAAGGTATTTAAATGCTGAGTTAACATTTATTTTTCTCTCTAAAAGACACAAATATACGAAAAAAGATAGCTTGTATCAACAATCCTGTATAGTAAAACCTTCGGAGCCCCGCTGGTATCCCCGAGACCTCGTGTCATATTAATTTTCAAACAATTTTTTCCCTTAGGAAAGTTTTTTTCCTTTTTGGTTGACTTTTTCAATGTAGCATTCCTCCCGGTTCCCCCTCTTATGCTGTTTTATTTATAAAAAATAAACCGTTACGATGTATGTATTTATGGGCCATAAATAAATATCAATTTTAATAAAATTTCAGAATTATTTACTTCTGAAACTTGTTAAAAGTTTATAAAAGTGTTTTCATTCATAGTGGTAAAAAAATTCGATATCCTACTGGAAAATTTTTAAAAGCCTTTTAAGAGATGCGCCATACAGTCATTTTAATGGTTAAATAAGTACAGTGCATTTTAAACAGCAATCCACCCCCCAAATTTTTAAGGTAAACTATAAGTTTTTACATGCCATGTATGATAGCAATACAAACGCATTTACACTATCCCGTCATGGCAGATCAAGTTAACAGTGCCTTGTCATCTTTGCTACCAAAACTGAAATACTGCCGACTCGCCGTTAAACAATAGCAATCAATCAATAATATGCTACACATACAGCATGACGTCATTTCTTGGTAGTTAAGAGATTTTACTAAAGTTAGTGTACTGTGATATTTGCAAGATTATTCTTTGACTCACAGGAGTATGACCCTTAAAACAAATGGTATGGACATGATAAGCTAATTCTCTCTTCTTGTACTAGTTTTACTTCAGAAAGTCCGAAAGGTCTCTGTGTTATGCCATGTTTACAGCAATTTGTATTGTTTGCATATTTTAAGTTCCTTATTATTTTCACGTATTTGATTAACAATTAAAAAATACACAAAAGATCCACAAAGCTGCTTTTTTGTTTTAAGTGTGTTCAGTATGTGTTTTTACCCATCTTAAATCTAATTTAATAACTTCTTTTAAAACAGAAGTATGTACTACTTAAAGCAAAAGTAGGAATGTAATAACAAGATTTAATCAAAAAAGGGATATAAATTCACAATTCAGCTCAACTCACTTTTTTTAAACACACAATAGTTTTATCGCACAAATTAAATCCATTTTTCTAAATAAAACCGAGATTATCGATTTTCAGTACGAGACATAAATCTTTATTTTTAAATATTTCATGTTAAAGGTGCATTTCCAAAATCATTATCTTAAGTTTTGAAACTCAATGTTCTAAAAGGGAATTTGTTTATAAATTGTATGATGTTAAATGTTTATGATTATGTCATAGGTATTGAACAATTATTTATTAATCGATCTTTTCTTTAATAATCTGGATAAAATGTTGACATTGACTTCTTACAGATGAGTATTTTTCTAGGTACCTGGCGCATTTTCTACACTTTTCTGTTTAAATAAATCAAGTGAAAGATAGGATATTAAAGTTTTGTTTATCTTTCAACATAGTAAATTGTAAATATTGGAAAAATTATTATTTTTTTTTTCATTTATGGCCTGAAACTTTGAAAATATGCGTTGAAAGGTATCTTTCAGGATGCTAGATTTCAGGAAGTAAATATCTGCAAAAATGCCACCTTTTTAACATGGAAATCAGTGCGCCTTAGTGTAATATTAATGTAAATAAAATACAGAAGTTAAGTAAACTGCACTGTTTCTGTATTATGACGAGGCAAAAGTAAGCTTTAAAATGACCGGATACAAAGACGGTTGAATTTGAAGAGAAACATGGAAAAAACCATTTGGAAACTCTCATAATATATCATCCAAGAGTATATAAATATCCTACAAATTATTATGTGTGAATTATGTTTAAACTTATTAAATATGATCAAAATTAGGTTATGAATCATTTTTAAAACCTATTTTGTTGTCACGTTATACAACTTTGCATTATAACAATGTGACCTTAATTTTTTCCCCTAAAAAAATGTGAGTTTAAAAAGTGAGTTGAGCTGTGTGTTTATAGTTTCTATTTTTATTCCCAAATTCATAATTTCAGTATTTTATTTCCTGGTATATACACTAAGAGTTTAGATCAAAACAAGAGAGTTAGAGTAAATTGGTTTATCAGTGCATCGCAAAGGATGTTGTTCACATAAATTTGAAGAAGAGTAAAATTGCCCTCTTCCACAAACTGAAGATGATTGAAGTCAACCCCCTGGGCCTGTGGTTATTTCTAATTTTATGTTCTCTCCAAGGTTAGAAATATTACTTGTTTTAAATCAATTTATTTGTAGACGAAAAATTAATTTATGGCTATGTACAAAATATGTATGTTTAAGGCTGTGTTGTGAAGTCATGTAGAAGTGGATTATATACTTATAGAATAGGTAATAGATACTGCATGACTTTTACAATTACTTCCCTTTTCCAACTGGTACGCGTTATTTTATCTAAAGAGCAACGATGAGTCACAGTAAGGGGTTTCCATAGTGTTAAAAAAGGATACTTTTACACAAAATGCTTGCCTTTTATGCGGAGATAAGTAGAGGATTTTTTTTTCTCTGAAAAGAGACTTATGAATAAAAAGTCCATATAGTTTATTGACTGTCATTAGTAGAATGAAGCATATTCATTGTTTAAAACCAATTTTCTTCAATATGTTATAAAATTTAACAAAATTAAACAATCAAAAGTTGACAAATTTAATAAAAAATTTTATATAACTGATTTTGAAATGGATTTTTTGTTATTTATTAGGTAAATTGACGTCGTAAATGTGTGTTTTTGACGTTTTGATAAAAATGAAAATCTACAGAAGGGATCATCAGAATGTCATCTATCATTTTGTAGTCCTCTATAAAATAGAGAAATTCATACATTTTGACATTCGAGATGCCCCCATCCGGAAACAAGACCGTTGAATTTAGTGTTTCTTCTTTACATATAATGTACAATATACTTATGACTAATTATATATTATAATTTGAGCATGAAAGTATATTGCAGTATTTGTAAAAGAAGGTGGTACAGTTTGGAATGAATTGTGCCTTTAACATTTCATGTTCTATAAAATGTCTAGAATATTTTCTCCAAAGACCTGGAAAATGAAATAGACTTGGAAAATATTAGTAATATTTCAATTAAAAATCAAATATAAAATCACATTCAGTAAAGGTTTACAGGTGAAATAAATTTCAGAATATGTTATCTGTGCGCTAAATGTGTAATATAAACTTTAGAAAAATATACCAAGCCAGGTGAATTTTAAGAGGAGGATCAAAATGACAAAAAATTAGCAATATCACATAGGCTGATTTTTACCATTTAGCTTTTCCTAATAAAATTCACCTGGCTTGGTATATTTTTCTTAAGTTTATATTACTCTTTTAGCACCATGTTAACATATTCTGAAAATTCTTTTCACCTGTAGACCTTCACTGAATGTGATTTGTCTATATTTGTTTTTTCATTGAAATATTACTAATATTTTCAAAGTCTTTTTCATATTCCAGTTCTTAGGAGAACAAAATTCTAAGAACCATCCACATTTCTAAACTTGTGACATGATCTTAAATCTTTTTCAAAGAAAAAAAATTGTTCGTATCATCTGTCCTTAATGCTTGAGAAAACACCAGACCTTGATGTCCAGCTATTCGTTTAATACAGCTTCAACGTCATCGTTAGTATGTGTCGTGGACATAAAATATACGGAATTTCAAGATTTGGCCAATGTTTTCCACAAAAGAATAACGATTTGACAGTTGCCTGTGGGGTTTATCGCCGGATGGTGAGGGTTAAATGCATGCTTGTACAGTTTACCGTCGACAATTATGTGACAGTAGCGTAATAATTTGGGTGAGACAAAAGAATCCCATTATCCAGCAAAAAAAAATCTATGATATATAATATTTATCTTACATACAAGTATTGTAAGGCATTTATTTTTACAGTTTCTCGATTAAACCATAGAACACGTGGTTGGTGTGATCGATCGGCATAAAATGCTTAAATATTTCACCATATCACCTGATCCCACCTCTTACGTTTTAGGATGTCCATGTTTACTCTTCTTCCTTGTACTGTATCAATGGACTTTGGAGCTTGGTTACTGTTCCTCATCTCCATATCTTATTCAAAGAAACATGCATTTAAAATGCAACAAAAGACAATAGTTTGAATAAGCTTAGGTAAATTTCAGTATTAAGATATTAAGCAACTATATATACATTTTTGCTTTTATTTGTCCCCAAGATAAAGAGAAAAACCCAAATATTTCAGGAACTAAATTCACATATATTTTATTCATTTCAGGTCAATCTTTTAAAATATTCACCAAATTTATGAATGGAAATCTGATATTTACATGGAGCAATATTTTAACAACCCGCAATGATATAACCATCATTAAGGATTCTCAGTCCAGTGATTGGATATCGGTTTATGATGATCAGTACACTGTGAAAGATGTTACGCTATACAAAACTGTAACGATCAAAGTACGGGAGTTGTACATATCTCAAAATTATGTGGAATACAACCGAACATTCAACGGTAAGTTTATTTTAAAGTGAAAATATTCAATATGAAAGTGTGAGTTTAAAAACAAGGCAAAACAAATAAAAATTTTCCATTTTCTGCACATTGAAAAAAAATAGTTAGATGGTTTAATCATGTGCCTGTCAAATTAAGTGGTCAAAATAATTTCAATACAGAGTGTTTCACTAAAATCCAAGACATAGCTGCCACATTCTACACACGTGAGACTGAGTGTATTTGACAATAATTGGCTCTTAAATTCTGTTTAATTTGTGAAATGAGTATTTGATATTAAGCAGAGCTTGTCCTTCTCCTTTACAATTTATTTAGTTCATTTAAATCAAGCATCAATTATATGCTATATTGAAGTCAAAATGCTACATGATAACATTTGCTTCAATAATCAAACAAACAAATAAAAAAAAATAATAATAATAATGAGCAATCATGAATAAATGCATTGCATTTGTTGTGATGTCTTGTTTTTGATGAAATGTAGTCTGTTTTTGTGTTTGATTTTATATTAACTCGCGCTGTTCAATTTTATTCAACCATTCCTGTATTTCTGTAACGACAGAGTTAACTATACAGAATTTTCTCTTTCATATATAAATGACACTTCATATGAATATTTCATTTTTATTTTAAAGGAATAATTTTCTTATTTGGACAACGTTAAAGACATTAAACATTCTATTCCTTTCATTTAGATAAAATAAATTTAATTGATTCTAAACTATATAGCAGTATTATACAAAAAGGTATCTTTAAGAAATATAAATACATATAATCATGTTTCTGTGTTATTCTTTCAAGTAAGAAGCTTAGAAAGCAAGTCAAACACAACAATAGCAAAGAAGTAAATAATTCAACTGAAAATAACATAAAATAGCTGGAATAATAGGAGACAAACGATTTAAATTTTTTTTTAAAAAGTGCGATATATATGTCTAGGTCTGATTTTTTTTCTTTTCCATAATAATAGTCAATAGTAGATGTTTAGCCGACAACACTCTTTTACGGTAACAAGTTTTTTTTTAGAATAGCGTTATTTCTTTTCCTGATTCCTTTTTAGTCAAAACAGTAGAATCTAAGGAGGGTGAATCAAGAAACATTTCATGGACTGCAGTTTATTTCCCTAGATCTGGACGATACCTCATTTTTCATGTATATAATGATTCAGTATCAACGATTATGATGATAGGGGACAGTGACCCGTCAAGTGAAAAGTATATTTATCACACCCGTCCCCTAAATTCTTCAAATATACAGTTTGAGGTGAAAAAATTAGCAGTGCAGGATGCCGGATATTACGTAGGAGGTGCAACAGAGACAGACGCGTTAGAAAGTGAAGGCGTGGTTCTTATTGTTTTCGGTAAATTCTGTGATTTTTTTTATATTTACCAGATTGAAAGCTATCTAATGTCAACTTTGTACAGCAATTTATTTATACTTGTTTACAATGGAAAAGTTGCTCTTGTATATCACAATGCATTTTTTATGAATGTAATGCTAAATGCATTGAATGTACTAAAATTCATATAGTTAAGCTAGTGAAACCAATAATAATAGGAATAGTTAATGTCAAAGTGGGGGACTACGCTTTTGTCCCTCCTTACCACCTTGTGTAATACATTGAACAAAATTAAATTCAAGAATATATTATACAACTATAACTCATCATGACTTTGCTGTTAGGATAACAGATTTTGTATACATTGTACTTTTCGATCAACATTAAATGGAAGGATTAAAGTGAGATACATAGGTAAGTGAAAATAACTTATACAGTGTGTATTCAAGATAAACTCTATCTGATGTAAACCAGTGGTAGAGAGTGTCCGAACCCAGTTTCAAGATTTACGCTTTAGAAGCACTGACGATGATTTTATTTAAAAAAGGATTTAATTTTAATGTAGAATGTATACATTGTATTACAATTGCATGTTAAAAATTCTTTAAATTATTTTTTTTTTAATTCAGGAAAACCAGTGAAGGCACAAATAACTGGGAATCTGAATATTCAAGTCGGAGAATTTGCCTATCTGAAATGTGAAAGTAGATCTACGTCTGCTCCGTCCTATTACAAGAAGTTTCAGCCATTAACGTATTCATGGTTTGTCAGCAACACAAGGCTTGATAGAGAGGTTAGAGAGACCTACAGCTTTATTGTGTCTAAGGAGGTTAAATACAACAAATACAGCTGTCAGGCAAAGGAAACACTAGAATCAGAAAGAAGTGAAGAAATTCAGATTAACCCTCTATGTGAGTATCTTGGTAGGTTTTAATTTACGCACACTATCATATTTTAAAAAAATGTGATAATTTGAATTACATTTATCTGCTTCTCTAGGTAAAAAGTGATTGATTTGAGTAGGCTTAGGGTCAACAAATGAACCGTCAGATATAATTTTGATTTTTAGATATGATATTTTAAACTGATAATAATCATTTGGCTAAGAAAAATTTCATAAATATTCTTTTAATACTTGATCATTCTTATATATCTTTACATGAAACTTGCGGACTCATTACACTCTTCTCGACGCGACAAAGCCAGTTATTGCAACGAGTACATGCATGACTTGCGTTGAATCTTCATTTAAAAAAATCGGTAATCCTTAAATATTCAATTCTGCTTCTACTCCATGAAATTCCGTGAAATAAACTGCATAAAATGAAATTGATAATAATAATTGAAGAAAAGCTTACAGTTGGAGTAACAAGCAGGTCTTACATCCATTTGAGCAAATGCAAGTAAGTTTTTTTTAAAAAAAAAAAAATGAAAGCTGTTCTGCAGGGCATTGGATTTAATATGATGAATGGCGTCTTCAACAACATTATTTTGTTTATTGTTTAAATTCCCTCTCGAAAACAGATGCAACCACCCTCCGGTTGAGAACCACAAATTTTAACCTATGCATGGCAATCAAGGCAGTTGAGCAGTGAAAGGTGTTTTTGTACCAGCGACTCGGGAACTTGATAATACGGACTCATCCGAGGGACCGATCCTTGTGTTTCACATTTCGATTGATAACTGCGACGTACGGATAAACTCGTTACTCCGCGACTCACTACATCTAAACTTTATCCATTCATTCAGATAGTTGTTCAACACGCCAGTTTAGCTGCTTTTGGAACGTTGGAAGCAATATTTTATAGATTTAGGTCAGTCGTAATCGTGATATTGTTAATCTAGCTACAGACTGAGCTAACGTGAAGGTCATAACTCGTTCAAATTTGAAGAGTATGTTTCCTCATATATTTCTTTCTATCAAAAATAGTCTAGTCCGATTTATAGAAAACAATATTTCTAACGGCAAATAATTATTATTTGGTCCAACATAGTTTTTTGACCTATTTCGAGTATGCTGAATCCGAAAAAATGTGTTGGCTTTCATGAAAATGGCGTTAAAGAGGTCAAAATGGTGATACAAAATGGCGGACATCCAATTTTTCTAATTTTCCCTAAATATCGTTCAAAAAGGAGAAATAATGTGTGAATATCTCACTGAGTGTAATACAAGTATAAAAATGATAATAGAGTGCAGTTATTTAAGAAATAAAGTCCGCGTTTTCGTGAATGTTGCAGAATAACCTCCGAGGTCGAGAAATGTTGTTTGAAATATAAAAGCCGAGGCGTTAGCCGAGGCTTTTATATTTCAAACAACATTTCGAGACCGAGGAGGTTATTCTGCATCATTCACGACAACAAGGACTTTATTTCTATTCTACCAAGGACGATAAATAAGGCCGATTGTTCCCTCTATAGAGAAACGAATTAGGCCACCATGTCCCGATTACGTTGTTCTATTTAACACCAGAGAGAAATTTTGTTGACTTACCTATATATGGAATGCAGATGGTTTGAGCTTTCGTTGCATTAAAAATAGTCTTGTTTAATTACAAATTTGTTCGTAATATGTATTGATCAGTTAAAATGAATATACAAAAACAAAATCGTGTTCTTGTTTTACTGCTAAAATCACGTTGTTTAATGTGTAGGGAGGTCCGTGGAATAGCCCCGCTTAGCTATAAAAACCGACATTCATCAGCAAGTTGATGCAATTTACAGTGTTTATACTTCAAAAGACGACACATCGATGCGGTCTAATCAAGTATTTTATGCTACAGCCAAACATGCATTTAAATTGTTCAGATTTGATACGTGTTTCTGATCTGATAATTTTCTGATGACGTTCGTGGTCTATTGGAGAATAATGTCCAGGCGGCTTCCTTTGAAGTTTTCAATAACCGTGGTAGAATATTAGTTTAACTCAGAAAATTTAGTCGTTTCTACACTTAATTCGAATTTTCTCTGATTGTTTGGTCTATTGTTTCTATATTCTTCTTTGTTCAGGAATTTATATTTGCAAATATCCATACACTGCAGATTTTCGTTTTTTCCTCTGCATCTCAATATTCTACAAATGAATGATGGCGCAGCTGTAAGTTAAAAGTCAAACTGGCGATTCAAAATGGCCGATATTCACCTTTTTTAAAATTTTAAATTATTTCCTAATGTTGTTTTCATAGGAAAATAAAATGTAAATATCTCACTGAGCGTAGTACAACTATGTACAATGTCAACAGAAAACTTATTTGATCACTTTAAATCGGAAAATTTAGACGTGTAGATTTGAATAGTGTTAATTAGCTCAAAATGGCGATTCAAAATGACGTCTGATACACTCGAATTTCATAGAAACTGCTTAATTCTGGTTCGTTTTGCAGAAAATGAATTACAGTTGTTTTTTTTATATATATATTTATATAGTATATTGATTATTCCATTAAATATGAACAAAAAAAACTTGAAAAGATTTATTTTTTTCTGGAAATACTAGAAGTTAAATCAAACTTGTCTTAAAAGTTCCCAAATTTCCCCCTTCGTATTTGACCGTACGTGTTCTAAAGCTTTTGAGTCCCCGTCTACCTAAAATCACTCCCGAATCCTGTCATTATAAACTCGCACTTCTACCTCAACAGCCCTCGGCACACCAACAAATATAATTGAATAAATTCTTGTCCGATTTCACTGAACACTTTGTTCTAGCTTTTTAGCACTTATAAGAACTTATTATCCCCTAACATCTTCTATTCCAGCTTTATTTGCTATATGTTTCAGCCTGTCATCGGAATTTTGGTGTTCTCAACACTCAAGTAAAATGGTGCACCGTGTCATAGATGATAACCCCCTTGTCAAGTAAAAGATGGTATCTCTGGAGCTCGAAAAAGAGTAATTAAGCTCAATGTGGACCGTAAGAAAAAATAAAAATCCTGCAAAAACCGATTATTTAAACTGACAGTCCGCCGAAATATGGCAGAAAAATTGCCGACTTGGCGTTAAACAATTTACAATCAATCAACCAACACTCAAGGAACAACACATTTACGTTCAAATGTTAAAAGTCTACTTTGTTTTCCAAAACCATATGCAAAATGAACTAGAGGTACTGTGAGCAATTAGCTAACTAAATGGAACCCCGGTCTCCCATATGAATATAATGACAGTGTCCATGTTTTGCTATGGGAAACCCTAAATGTTTATCGGATCAAGAAGTAAAATAGGAGGTCACAATTGCAATATGTAATAAAGATTCTGTGAAAGTTTCATCAAATTTCATTCAGTGGTACGAAAGGAGTTACGGATAAGAGATGGGTACCCAAAAGCGTAACAGACGGACGGACGGACATACACCTTGTACCGATTACTCTATACCCTCCCGCTTTTCAAGCGGGGGTATAAAAAATCTCTGATGTTCAAGACTTATAGCTCTTTATTTTGTGACTTCGTATAGATTTGTTGTCTTTTAGGGTAGAAAGGTCATTCTATTAGCAAGAAAATTCTCAAAGTTGATCATCTGAAATCACATTGTGTGCATATTTTGGTGAGAAAAGTTGAAAAATTATGCAATTTAAGAGCGCCTGCAGATTCCTCGTGATTGGAGAGAATGCAGTTGAATTTATGACTGAGAATAACAAAATGCAAATGAAGGGACACAGAATCAGAGCTGGACAATCAAGAAAATTTATGGTAAAAATACGTATATTATACTGATAATTCTTTATAAATATGTTTATATTTGAACATTATGATATATTCAGATTTATATGATGTAACAATTACTAGTGGTCGTGGTCAATTATTTTAAAAATCATACGAAGTTATGTAGTACTAGACCTTCCACATGAACATAGGCATTTATTTTTTTTTCTAAACTGGACTAAAATAGATCAAGAATTTCCGACAACTGAATGTTCACTCGCCTTAGTGCTCGGGGGATACTGCTCTTGGGGTAGCTTTATTTACATATTGTCCTCAAAACAGCAATTATTGTATGATATTATTATGGAGAAGCATGGTGAGACAGGTAAAAGGTAAAATGTCTTCGGTATTGTCGTCAAAAATTTATCTTAACAATAGAAGTAATTAATAAAAAAAATCCGTATTATAAAAATCTTAAGTCATTAATAAAAATATCCTCCAACTTTCATTGCGTAATTGAACATCATTTCATGAATAAAAAAACAAACTGTAGTTTATTTTCTGCAAAACGAACCAAAATTAAGCAGTTAGGGTATTTTACGAAATTCGAGTGTATAAGACGTCATTTGAATTGCCATTTTTAGCTAATTAACACATTTCAAATTTAACGACTAAATTTTCCGATTTAAAGTGATCAAATAAGTGTTCTTTTGTTATTTTACATAGTTGTACAACATTCAGTAAAAATTCACAAATCCTTTCTCGTATGTATACGACATTAAGAATTAAATAATTTGAAGAAAAGGATGAATATCCGCCATTTTGAATCGCCATTTTGACTTTTAACTTATTGCTGCACTATCATTCAATTGTAGAATGGTGAGATGTAGAGGGGAAAATACAAATATGCAGTGTATGGATATTTGCAAATGTAAAATCCTGAACAAAGAGGAATATAGAAACAATAGACCAAAAAATCAGAGAAAATTCGAATTAAGTGTAGAGACGACTAAATTTTCTGAGTAAAATTAATAATATTTGCACTCTATTATCATTTTTATACTTGTATTACACTCAGTGAGATATTCACACATTATTTCTCCTTTTTGAACGACATTAAGAAAAAATTAGAAAAATTTAGTGTCCGCCATTTTGAATCGCCATTTTGACCTCTTTAATGCCATTTTCATGAAGGCCAGTATATTTTTTTGGATTCAGCATACTCGAAATAGGTTAAAAAACAATGCTGGACCAAATAATAATTATTTGCCGTTAGAAGTTATTTCTAGCCCTCTTTTTTTAAAATCAGGACCAGACTAAAAGCAATATGATAATATGACATCATAATGCATTGTATTACATAACAAATGTTATCGAAAGTTTGAAATACCACTTATTAGCCTTGGGTCTACAAAAAAATCTATTTGATTTAATAGGATAAAGATTCTTTATCAAGGTAAGATAAAGGGTGCATGGAATTTTTTTTTGGCTCGAAGGTGTTTGGAATGATACACTATAAATATCCGTAAACCCTTGATTTAAGGTCAGACAAGACGTCGACTTTCCTCAAAATATGGTTTGTATATCTTCGTAAAGTATGAAAAATATTCAAAATTTTAAGTTTCTGAACCAGTTTCTAAACGTCTTTAAAAAATCCAAACACTTAAGGAAGGTCCATACTTTTACAGATCCGGTTTTAATTTTACACACCAATATAAAATTCTGATTATCACATTTTTTGTAATAATTTCATGAGTAAAATATTTAATAATTATAGTGTCAATTTGAATACAAAGCATTTAATATATACTATTTATGGAAATTAACACTTAACACTTAGTCCATGGGATTTATATGCTTTTAGTACATACACAGACACAAAATTCTTAATTGCATTTATTAAGCTAAACCCTTCTTATATTTTTTTTAAACAAACTAACTTGGGATCTATTTTAATAGATTTCAGGCCAATATCATCATTTTAAATTTTACTTCCGTTATAAATTTTGTAAAAAATAATTGAAAAATTCGATATTCCAAATATGGGAGTCTACGTGTTCAAAGGGCTGTTTTGTTAAATTATTCTGGTCAATAAAAAATTGTGTTTTTGATAACCTTAGATATAATTCTTACTAATTTTTAAGAAAAAATGGCATGTAAACAATTCAAATTTTGAGAATTATTAAAAATAAAGATATTAAAAGATTTTATTCTTATAGACGTGGACAGATTCAACATTAATTTGTTAATGTTTTCCCGGAAAGATTTAAAATATTCTCATATTCTCCTCGCAAATGAATGTTTTTTTCCTTAAGTTTTAATATAAATTTTATGTGATTAGGTGCCTAGCTACATAAAATTTGATATCATACTTCTTTATGTTTAATTTTGGATGTTGAATTTTTAGAGGTATGTACTCTGAGACATGTTGTATGGAAATTAACCTGCAAATATATGTCTTTTATGTTTGTTTTAGTTAGTTCATGAGTTATTTAAGGTATTCAAGTAAAAAAAATGATCAGTTTGGGTTAGGGTCAGAAAAGTTTGAAAGTACGGGCCTACCTTAAGCATTTGAAATTGGAAAATTATTTTTCATCCCAAAAGGAATACATAAGAAAAACTACCCCTGGTATCTTGCAGAAATACCTGGTAAGGTACTTCAAACTTTTGTAGGTAAACATGTTTAAGTAGCAATACTTCAAAGACAAACTCTTGAAAAATATATATATTATTTGGGAACGTCTCGTCTGTCCTTTACCTTGATAGCTGAAATTGACTTTTTTTACTATGTTAATCTGATGTCTGACTAACAACCTCCTTGAATTTAACCAATCGAAAATGTAAGATTTCCAAAATTTACACAAAATATTATGGAAAACTCATTTTCTTCTCTTCACAGATGGTCCAGGAAATGTAATAATAAATCCTCAGCCGCCTTATGACGGTCTAAATATTCACGACGGGGAAACATTTGGTCCATACACATGTTCTTCTGATTGTAACCCACCTTGTGCCATGCAGTGGAAATATAAACATCCGTTAGGGAGTTTCAGAGACGCTACATCCATTTTGACGTCTTCAGTTACTGTACAAGAGCAAACAGCGAATAGAACTAGTATGGCATCAATTCGATGTATAGTGAGCGGCACTGACGGCAAAACATCATCAAGCATCAAGCTGAACATTCAATGTAAGACTGTTTCAGAGCATCGTCTCAAAATAACTGCTACAATGAAAAAAAAACATCATTAATCTTAACATTTAATGTAAGCGTGTTTTAAAGCATTGTTTTACTGTATATGCTGCGGTAACCATTTGTCATACTGAAGGGGTTTTAGAGACGCTATATCCATTGGCATAACATGGATTAATTTAGCAAAACAAACAGCAAACAGAACAAATTTGACATGGATTCGATGTTTAGTTAACGGAATTGAAGGTCGCTCTGTATCCAATATTAAGATAAACATTCAATGTAAGTGGGATATGCAAACATTTTTTTTTAAAAAGGGAACGTTAATGCATTGTGAAAAATACAACTTAAAACCAAATCCCTATCGTTACTTTCATCTTTTCTTTTATTTCCCATGAAATTAGAAAAAAAAATATTATAACGCTTTTCAGAATCAAACAATTTTAACCTTAAGATACAAATAATGTTTTATTTGATTCTTCATTTTACCTGATATATGAAAAAAATGCACATCCGGAAACTGTAAAACTATCTACTTTAAAGCTTAAAAGCAAATAATATCTGATCCATGCAATACACGCACTAGATTGTTGAAATCATGATATACGTATGTATAGCGTCTATTTTAAAACTTCTGCAACTGTGTGACAATGACCCTTGAAGCATCGTCTATAATCTAAATTAAACTTGCAGTATTTCGCTTTTACAATATAACTGCCACGTATGATTACAAATTTGATGTGTAAAAACTGAAATTGTTTGAATGCCTTTAAAAGAATTAGTAAATTCACTTTGTATTTAGTGTACGTATGTGCATTTGAAACTCTCAACCTACAAAAAATATAATACTAAATAATAATAACTCAAAAAACGTATCGTCATGTTGAGGTTGTTTAATAGAAAACTTTCTTTAAAACTTAACACTGTCTTGAACGTATTAATTTTTGAAAAAAGGTAAGTTTACAACTGATTCTTAGTTTTTATGCGATGACTTGATATTTATTTAATTTTTTTTTTAAAAATCAGATTTATTGGACCCGAGGTTATATATTAATGGTAAACCCAGCGATGCATTAACCATTAATGAATCAAATCAAGTTTTCCTGTCGTGTTTTGTCTATGGAAATCCTATTCCAGAAATCACCTTACGCAAACTCACTGGGAACCAGATCTATATACAGAATGTAAATCATTGGCTAAACTACACATTGATCAGATGGGCCCAGTGCTCTGACACGGGTACTTTCGAATGTGTCGGACAATCGACGGAGTTTGGGAGAAGGAATCAGTCCTTCAGTATTAACGTTCTCTGTACGTATACATTGTAACAGAATATTGAAGTCTGATAATAATTATTGAGTATCCATTGTCATTAATGCTTTGATGTTTTCGTAGTGTTAAACCATTAGCAATGTTCTTTATGGAATTGCAGGTGAACCTCGCCTCGATGAAGGTACTTTGGTGAAAAACATCTATGAATCAAGAAGTGGCCCGGATGTTAAAGTTGTTGTAAGTTTACCAGTTGTTGCGAATCCCCTAACATCTACATCAGGGTTCGTTTGGTTAGGACCCACTTTTGCGTCAATTTCAATTGATGTTTCACAAAGAGATAACGTTGTCTACAAACACTGGATCAACAGCTCCATTCCTGTTCCTGATCAGAGATCATTCGGAACCTATTCGCTGAAATACAAAGGAAAAGCCTTCGCTGATATAACAATTCACGCCAAAGGTAGGATTTAAAAAAGAATCTTAACATTTTGTTAAAAACATTATAACAATTTATAAAATTTCATCAATAGTTTGTTCCTACTGCTATATATAGGATTTAAAAATAATATTCCATTCCTATCATGACGTGTAAAGCATTTAATGTATTGTAAGAAAAACCCTTGCAATAAAATACAATACAAAACAGAGTTTGTGTTGCATATTATTATGTAGACTCTCTAATGCCTTTAACATTAAAATACACATATGCATACGATTGGAGAAAAAAACTACTTAAAACACATATGCATTTTTGCATATAAAATATGGTTTATCTAACATAATGCATATTAAAAGACCTAAAACCATTTCAAGTGAACTGTATATGGCGCAGAAATGGCTTAAAAAATTACATCTATTGAAATGTAAAAAAAAATTAAGGAACCTGTACTTACGAGTAAAACCAAAAAAAAAAATGCCTTAAAGACCTTTTAACCACTTCAGTATTTGTATATTCTAAAAATTACTCAAAATACAACATTCACAATCCTCATAAGCTTTGTTCGAAGAGGTGAGTTTTAATCTGGCATGTATGCACTTATTTTAAAGCAATGATTTTACCTGCTCCTGGTTGACAACAGCCACGACAATAAATTTTTACAATCATGGTTGTACCCGCACAAGATTAACAACAGCTTTGACTATGGAACGCCGTCACTGCCTTATAGCAGAACACAACAATTGCACTGCGTCAACCTTCCATTTCATTATGTCAACTCTTTGTGACATTTACTCACACAACTATTACATTGTGTCAACCTTCTATTACATTATGTCAACTCTACATGATATTAACCCATACTACTATAGCATTGTGTGAACCTTCATTTACATTATGTCAACTCTTTATGATATTTACTCACACTACTATGGCATTGTGTGAACTTTCCTTTACATTATGTCAACTCTTTATGACATTTACTCACACTACTTTTACATTGTGTCAACCTTCGGTTTCATTATGTCAGCTCTTTATGACATTTACTCCCACTATTATTTTATTGTGTCAACCTTCCATTATATTATGTCAACTCTTTTTGACATTAACCCACACTACTACTGCATTGTGTCAACCTTCCATTACATTATATCAACTCTCTATGATATTTACTCACACTACTATTGCATTGTGTGAACTTTCCTTTACATAAAGTCAACTCTATATGAGATTTACTCACACTTATATAACATCGTGTCAACCTTCCGTTCCATTATGTCAACTCTTTACGACATTTACTCACACTATTATTATTGCATTGTGTCAGCCTTCCATTTCATTATGTCAACTCTTTATGACATTTACTCACACTACTATTGCGTTGTGTCAACCTTCCATTATATTATGTGAACTCTTTATGACATTAACCCACACTACTACTGCATTGTGTCAATCTTCCATTATATTGTGTCAATTCTTTATGATATTATCCCACACTACTGTTGCATCGTGTAAACCTTCCTTTACATTATGTCAACACTTTATGACATTTACACATTCTTGCATTTCGTTATGTTTACTGTTCATGACATTTAATTAAACAACAATTACATCGTGTTAACCTATCATTATATTATGTCAATTCTTTATGATATTAACTCACACTACTACATTATGTCGATTCACTATTACGTTATGCGAACACGGGTATCCTCGGCCTTTATATGAGCATAACGTATTTTCCGAGTTCCGCAAGCACTAAAATTGGCGGGAGAGAAAATTGTCGTAGAAGAAATCTCAGCGATTTGGGAATGGCATCTTTAAATAAAAATTTTAAGCGACAAAGGATTGACAATCTTAAAACGTGCAAAGCCTTAACATTGCGTCTGTGAATTAAAGTCACGTCGAAATTCAATGGCGTTTACTTTTATCTGATAGTTAAATAAATCAATTATGAGTCGTGCAGCAATTTTTTTTTTTTTTTTTTGGTTTTTTTTTTTGGTTTTTTTTTTTTTGGATAAAAGTCTTAAACTTCTGATCTTACTAAGAACATTGTCATAATTTTATTTTATCAGTCTTGAACTTTCCTTTTTTTTAAAAGTGTAAACACATCGTATAGCACACGTGCACTGGTGGGTTGAGGGGAGGGGGAAATCCCGCCCTACCACCTTTAGTGACCAAAATCTACATGTACATACAATTAATAAATTTATTGGTTTTACTTTGTGAGGACATTGCATTAGTTTCACATTAAGTTTAGCTGAATTTTTTTTATGAAACTATAAAGCCTGAGAGTTTCTCCGCTTCCCCCTTGGTCTCCAACCATAAACCGTCCCCCTTCAGGCTTGGACAATTTTTCTGTTCAAGATTCTCGAATCCGCTACTGATATGTGTCCATGCATGTTTACTAAGGCATATTCAATTGATTTAGATGAAGGATTGGTAGATTTTTGTAATAGAATTCTGGCCCTGGAATGGTTGAAAAAAAATACTATTTTTTTTTTATAAAACTATAAACCCTGAGAGCTTCTCCGCTTTCCCCCTTTGTCTCCAACCATAAACCGCCCCCCTTCGGGCTTGGGCAATTTTTTTTTGTTCAAGATTCTCATATCCGCTACTGATATGTGTCCATGCATGCTTACTAAGGCATATTTAATTGATTTAGATGAGGGATTGGTAGATTTTTGTAATAGAATTCTGGCCCTGGAATGGTTGAAAAAAAAATTTACTAATTCTAGTGACGTATCATCTTTTTCGAAAGAGGAGGAGGGGGGGGGGGTCAGCCAGAAAAAAATATTCGCCCGAAAAAACGTGAGAAGCGAAAAAAAAATTGTCCACTCCAAGCCCGAAAATCCTATTTCGGGGAGGGGGGTCCAACTTCGATCAGTCCTAATTTTTTTGTCAGATATACTACATTACCCTCAGTGGACTATACTTCAACAAAAAGTGGGTGTGGGGCTGTGCTTTCAATGAACATTACATTTTCTATTGTAAAGTTATGTCTGGGAAAAGAGGGGGGCTGATATTTTGTGCCTGTATAATTCTTCCTAATCAATAAGGACCCCCCCCCCCCCCCCGACCTCTTACCAGTCATAAAAACACGGTCGTCAACATTCATTTTATACCAGATATACAGCTTTGAGATAATGTAAATGTATTTTTACATCAGGTAATGCACTTTTGGAATCAACATGATAAAGAGTTAACACAATATAAAGATATTTTAGATCACATAAGAAAGAGTTGACATAACGTAATTATATATCCACATCACGGAATTGAGTTTTGACATAATGTGATAAAGTGTTGATGTAATATAGAGAAATGTTCACATAATGTCGTACACTTTTTACACCACGTAATAAAGCACTGACATAAAGGTAAGGTGAGTTCATCTCACATCATGATGCTCCCGACCTAAAATAAAGAAAATCCCATATCATGTAATAATGCTTTGATATAATAGAAATATACACTTTCAAAAAGGAATGGATTTTTGACTTCATGTAATGATAAGTTTAATTATAAAACACAATTCACTTGACGTAATGCAATTTTGACCTCACATATTAAAGAAATGAAATGATGTAAAGAAACATTCATTTCACGTAATAAAGTTTTAACACAATGTAAACACATAATCACTTTACATAATGAATTTTCGACTTCTAGTTATGAAGTGCTGATATAATGAAAGGATGTATTTACTTCATGTAATGCAGCATTGACATGATGTAAAGATATTTTTACGTAATCTCATAAAAAATTGACATAACGTAAAGATATGTTCACATCACGTAATGATAAATTGACATAATAAATGCATAGTTGTATGCTATAAGGCAGTGTTGGCGTTCCATATTTGACTATTCCTGTTCTGAAGACATATTTTATTTTACAACCACGACTGTATTCGCCAGATTAAAAACATCAATAACTGTACTTTTCTTGTATGAAGAAGGATATGGAGATACCGAACAGTATACACTTATCCACTGGGTGTAAGTGGGATAGCTCTTTTATCAAACCCGCGACAGAGAACTATTCCCCGAGGTCTTGCCCGAGGGGAATAGTTCCTGTCAAGGGTTAGATAAAAGAGTTATCCCACTCACACCCAGTGGATAAGCGTTTTATTATACTGATGTATAGTATGATTTCTGACGTTTGAATTTTTTTGGAATAAGATTATTCTGCAAGAATAATCTGAAATCCTGATGACGTCACAATGCTATTGAAGTCATTATGACATCATCAGTTTAAAATTTATCGCTGGAAATCAAAATTTATGGCAAAAATTGCATGAAATTTTTCCGAGGGTGGATAGCAAAAACTATACCCCGGGGTATAGCTTTGCTATTCGTTGACTATACAGGATAGTTATTTTACCTTCTGAACTTTATATAGGAAACATTTTAACAGAAGTATAATAATATTCAATATCAAAGTCCATAAAACAATACATTGAACAAAATAATCATTTTGCATCCTGCATGGACTCTTCATTGTTCAAAACATCCACGGCCTATTCTTTATTCTATATCTATGACTGAATTAATATTCGACTAAAAAAATCGACTACTGTTCTTGTGTCTCAGATATAAAAAAAACATCCGTGGCTCTATACCTGTCTTGTATACACAAGTTATTAATCATCCGTGACTCTACCCAATTTCTGATTATCAATATCGTGTCCAATATACACAAACTTTACTCTATCTGTCACGTAAAATTATGTCATATTTGCTTCATGACGGTACCTAAGTCAAATTAAAATCTTCCACGACCGTATTTCTCCTGCATGCACCCTTTATTCTATGTCCCTGACTGAACCAATGCACCTGATAGACAACATTCAGGACAGTCCGCATTCCTCGTGTTAATTTTTGATATCAACGACAGTGCCTCGTGAAAATTCTAAATATTTTATAACCATAGTCAATAGATAAAGTAACAACATCTACGACGGTACCGGTCTTGTATATGCAGTAACATGCATTCAAAATCCATAGCTGTACCAATATAATGACAACATCTACGACTGTACCTGTCTTTTTTATACAGTAACATGCATTCAACATTCATTACTGTACCTGGGCTTTATAGCATCCATGACTGCATTTGATTGTTTACATTTGATAATCTTACCATTTGTTTAAGTATTAAAAGAAATAAAACATTACAATATTCGACAAAGAGTACAAGTCTCCGCAGAAACAATGGGGGAAAGGGGGACCCAAGGCTCTCCATGGTACATAATTTGCTATGAAGGCAACAAAAAAGAACTGTATAGAATAGTATTTGGTTGATCTAGAAGCATGGAGTAATTTAAGTGTTTGCTCCTGTCTCATTTTTTTCTTTTGAAATTGTGTTCTGCTTGTCGGCTAATACGCAAGTGAGTTAAGGCTACAAATGGAGGTTTTTATGCATTATATCTAATTAAATTCCATAATTGCTCTACCTACCGCACAGAGATTTTTAAGACTTGTTTTCAAATACATTCTTTGGTACCCACGACATGCGATAGCCAGTACACATTATGACGTCATATGATGATGTCATCGACATCTACTACATAAGTTTATAATAAACATAAACAAAATCGCTTCAGCCTTACTTTGTTTAACAGAAACAAGGTATAAAAAGACACAGGATATTCCAAGGATTTAACATATTTCTGCACAAATGTCGACACTGCAATTGTTTAGCTACTATTCGTGCTGCTTTAAGTTTAAACAGGGTATATTTCACTGAAAGTGCTTAGGATTTGTGCAGCAATTTTATTTATTTTAAGAATATTCTCCTTAACATCAAACATTGTTTATATTATAAGATAGGATATGCCCTTACGCCCACGTGATTTTGTTGATGTGATTTATTACTTTGAATTGGAGAACAATGACGTCATAATGTGACGTCATAATGTGCACTTGCATTAATAAACTGTTGGTACTAAGTATGTATAAAAAAATTAATTTGATCTTTCTCTGTACTCAAAATATACAATTTATGAATTTTATTAGCTCATTTGCATAGAAATATCCATTTTTAGCTTAAACTCACTTGCATATTCTAATAATCATTAAGGAATAAAATTTCTGAACTCTTTTTGATCTGGTTCATGGCGTAAATGCCACTGAAATTTTATTTATCAAATTATGGAAGGTCTTTCAAGTGACGTTAGCTTGTTTAGAAATGCATGTGTATTTACCAAAAATTATATTTCACTAATATGACAAATGAAATTTTTACAGATGTAAGTGCAGTTTCCAGAGAATCCTCTATTCAGACGGCCTGGGTGGTTATTGGAGTACTCATTGGTTTATTCGTTTTGTTGCTGACGAGCTGTGGAGTTTATAAGTTTACTTTTCGTCGAGGTAATTCTTTTTTTTTTCAATATTTTGCTTTGGTAAAGAAATTTTCGTACTTAGTGCTAGCTTTTGTGCATGCTCGTGGAAAAATTGATTTATTGCTTGTCAAGAAATATTTAGTAGTTGATTGTGCCTAAAATTGAATATGAAACACTTATAAACAGCCACATTGTACATAAAAGTACCCAATCAAATATGCATTTACACTTAGTTTTAAATACAGTACATAAAAAATCTTGAGAATTGACCAATCCTGTAAAAGTGTACCTTAGTTTTTTAATGGACAAGTTTTGAAGAATAACATACATCACTCAATTTGTATACTGTGAAATTGTTACAAATTCTTTAAAGTCATGAAGCCTTGAACTAACCAGATTGTCAGGTCATAGAAGTGGTCGTACGTCTCTTTATTTACCACTGAAACGTTTTTACTATCAATGCTTCTGTTTAAAAGAATATTTAATTACTTATTTTCCCTCCCTCCGCTTGAAAAGTGGGAGGGTAAACTGTGACCGTGATGTCCGTCTGTCTGTATGTTTGTCCGTCTAGGTGATTGTAAGTCCGTCACCTGTCTGTTACTCTTGTATGATTCACAACTCCTCTTTTAATTCTAAATGAAACTTAATTAATAATGCTTCACAGAATCTTTAGAGCATAGTGCCATTATGCAATTCAAAATTTATTTTTTATCCGACATATTTTTTGGGTTTCTCATAGTAAAATGTTTTCATATTGAAGGGTACCCATATCTTATCCGCAGATCTTTCTATACCATTAAATAAGATTAACCAATACTTAAGCATTTAAAAAAATCACATTGCAATAGTTAAGTCCAGATAATTATTTATTTGGGTCTCCCAGAGCACAAACCTGGATCTACCGTACATATGGGAGGCGGGGTATAATTTAGCGAGCACAATACCTTTAGCTTATTATGCCCCCCGTAAACGAAGTTTCGGGGGATATAGTTTTTGCTGTGTCCGTCTGTCTGTCTGTCTGTCTGTCTGTCTCTCTCTCTCTTTCTCGTTGTCTGTCTCTCTGTATCTCTGTTTGTCTGTTTGTCCGCAAAAACTTTTACCTTGCCCATAACTATTGATTTAGTTGAGTTATGACTTTCATACTTCACACGTGTCTTCCTTGTGACAAGACCTTCCTTTGGGTACCACCAGATTTGACCTTTTGACCTTGGAGTTTGACCCACTTTTATATGAAAATTTTGAACTATTACTTTGGCCATATCTTTTGAACAGTAGATACCAGGACGTTTGTACTTCACAAATGTAATCTTTGTTAAAAGACCTTTCATTGGATACACACAACCTTGACCCTTTGACCTTGACCTTATACATTTCTGTACTTGTGAAAAAACTTTAACCATAGCCATAACTTTGGAACGGTAAGGGATAGGGCTTTCATACTTCTTATATGTAATCCTTAATAGAAGGCCCTTCTTTGGATACCAAGAATTTTGACCCGTTGACCTTCACCTTTGAGATTGACCTACTTTAAATAAGCAAACCTTGACCATAACTTTTAAAGGGTTAAGGCTTTCATACTTTACATATTTAATTCTTATATGAATTAAACCTTGACCTTGGAGTTTGAGCTACTTTTGAAAAAAAAAGAACCTTCGCCATAACTTCTGAACTTATATGGCTAGGGCTTTCATGCTCTACATAAGTATTTTATGTGGCAAGACCTCTCATTTGATACTGTAAATCACTTTTTATTTTAGCGTAATTATGCAAGACAGTGTGCTCACGAAAATTTAATTCTAGTGTATAATAGTATTCCTTAGGATTATATAGAGCAATAACCACAATTCATGAACATTTTGTCTCGCTTATCAAGAACCAATGCCTATTTCGCTTAAATAAGGTGTCGCAAAAATTAAGCAATCTACAGTACCAAATTACATTGATCTTTTGACCTTGAAGATTTTTCTACTTATTGAAAAAAAAAATTTGGCTTACTTTCAAATTTCATAATTGTTTTCCAGTAAGAATACCCTACTTTTGGTACCATTTCATTAAATTTTCATTTAAGAAAAGTTTAATCGTTAATATGTTGCCTACGGGGGCATCAGTGTTTCACAAACACATCTTTTTTTTACCGAAATTCACAGGTATTGGAACAGGATCGATTCAACAACCTAAGCCAGCTCACGATCTCAGAATCCAGAACAAAGAATATGATGACATTGATGACGTCACTGTAGAAGCACAAGATCAAAGTCCTAACAATCAGACATACGAGGATGTAACAGAGAACACAGAACAAATACAACCACTGACAGATTATCAGAATATCAGTGGACATCAGGATAACCAATATGAAGCGGTAAAGCCTGATCAAGGTAGACTTTATTCGTCTCTTAAGGTTCAGTGAACCGACGTATAAAGAGACCTTTTTTATGAAGAACTATCAATTTTTTCATAAAATGTATATTGGAATATTTTAATTTATTTTGAAAGACAAGGTATGACACTATTTGTCTTAAACTTATAAAAAAGATTCGTTTGAAAAAAAAAATTATCAGAATAAAAAAAGAGGGGATGGAATGAATACAAATGTTTTACAATACCCTTTGTGCTATTTTAATACTGTTGAGCGGATAACAACTTTATATTTTTGAGTGAGAAATTCTTTTAATTTCTTTTTTATACGTTCAGATATTATCAGAGGAAAACGTAAATGCGTTACAGTTTTGTAAATAAAAATCCATATCTTTTATGTTAATTATGTGTTTTTTCTTTACGTTTTAAGAGCAATTCTCTGTAATGACTTGAACTTTTACATAGGAGCTGTGGCACGCATAGTCTCAGAATTTTTCCAAATTCTCTATGATAAAAGGCATTGATACCCTGAACTAAAATCAGGCAAAAATTGGTTGCTATGCTTTATAGTTACCATGGCAACATGTCTTAAAGTTCGAAAAATGGCATTTTTTAACATGTTTAGAGCCCCATAGTTAACATTTGCGGCAAAGCAAACAATTGTTAATGACTGTTTCCAAAAGATGAAGGTAAGATGTCTCAAATGCATGATAAACATCTTTGGTAAATTAACTATTACATACGTTACTATGGTAACAAAGTATTCAAAAGTAAAAAAAATATTCATTGAATATTATGAAGTCAAACTCGTAAAAATGAAAAGCAATTATAGGATGAAATGTTACCAAATAATAGAAAAAAGAGCCTTGAAACACATACCAAGAAAAAATATGATATTTCATTTTGGTTGGCAATGGTTGCCAAGCTTTTTATGCCCCAGAGAGCCTTCAAAGTAACACTATGTATGTTTAAATATGATCCTATCTTTTAAAAAAGGCACATTTCCTCATAACTAATGATCAATTTTATAAGATATTGGTGTGCTCCAAATTTTCCCATTTCAAAAAATTCAGATTAGATTCTTTAAATAGAACGTTGCTATGGAAATAAACAGAAAATATATGCTTGAAAACCTGAAAAATATTTTGTTTCCTTGGATACGTACCCTTAAATGTAGATTCCCAAAAGTTTTATGATTGATATTTATTAACAGCTAACTTGACTTTTAATTTTGACTATCATCCAATCTCTAAGTGGATGCAAGAAGTTGGCACACAGGATTTAATATTGATATAAAGTTAAAAAAATCGAACATTTTCCCTTCTTGGTAACCATAGCAACAGTGTTGTTTTATTCATCAAATTTTATCAATATATGATATTTAACTTCAGTTCTAACAGATGAGACTATTCCAGTTGAGCTCTTTAATTTGTTTCTTGATTAAATGGCAATTTAATTTTTAATGCAGCAGGAAAAAATTCACTTTTAAGCACTGGTACTTTGTTTCCATGGTAACACTACAAAGTAGCAATTATACCCAATTTTTCTTATGGTTTTGGTGTTGCAAGGTCCTAAGGATGCATATTTGCCAGTCTTGAATTTTCATGTTTTTCCTCAAGACAGTAGCATAAACCCGATCTTAGTTACTGGTTTTGCATGGTTACACTGTGTTACCATGGCAACCATAAAAGTTATTTATAGAATAATATTGCTTATACTTATATACTTAAGGTCAAACATTTTCATTGTTTTTCTTAAGTCAATGATTAAGTTTTAGCATGTAACACCTACCATTAGTGAATATGGAGTGTTTTTCAGCATATTTCAGCATTTTAAATGTATTCCAAATGTACCCTTGGTTACCACTTACTTAGAGATATATTATTAACAGTTTTTTCACAGTATAAGTGACATCAAGGTGTCATGTTTTTGTTAGAATGGTTTGTTTGCTTTTTCTAGTTTTTATTAAGCCACAGTCAGGGTTTAAAATGGCTGAAAATCTCAATTTTTCAAACTTTTCCGGCTGTTGCCATAGCAACCAAGACACTTAGCAACAAAATTTTGTTTGATATTTTTTTCTGGTGTCAAATACTAAGCATGGGTGAAGTTTCATCAAAATCGGTGACCATGCGTGGCAACGAAGTTTAAGTGGTTACAGAGAATGGCTATTAATATAAGAAAGTAGCCAAGTCTTATTCACATATTTTTTTTTGTTTTTATCTCATTGGATGTACTGTTACACAGGAGTTAGTTGATAATTTTGTGTATGTACAATCTTGAATATAGAGATGAGGAGTTTGTCAGCTCAACTCCTCGTAAACCATTGAACACAATTTCGTTAGTCTGAAAGCATGTTGCTGACGGTCATAAATATCCTCCAAGGATTCCATAAACTCTGATGTATATTTGTTTAAATATGTATGTATAAGGGATTTTTTCTTTAGAAAATAGTGTCCACAGCCGTCGCCCACTATAATATTTAGATATGTTTGGCAAATACATTGGAAGATCACATATTTCAACATCTTTGTGGGCGATGCCTGTGGTCAATATGTTCTGAAAGAAATAAATCCATTAAAAATTGGTGTCTTCTTCAACATTTTAAGAAAATAAGGGAAAATGCACATGTTAATGAAGTCACAATTTAGAAATGCATGTGAGAAAAATGATTTGTATAATTTTAATGCACGGAATTTCAATAAATCAGAAAACATGAATTTTCATTTTTTACACCTGATTCAATTTTAAGAAATTCACAGGGCAAAGATTGTATTGAAACTGTACCTTTTTCTTTGCACTTTTAAAATAAATCTTCCTAATAAACGTTGATAGTAATTATCTCCTCTATCATGTGTACGCTTGGACAAAAATATCAAGGAGAAAAGGAAAATGACGGATTTCCATCGCATTATACCGATACATAATTTTACATACATTTTTTTTTTCATTCAGACAGCTTAAACGTTTAATATCTCTTCCTTTGATAAGAAAATTAATGTTTTAAACCTTTTTTACATCAACTTGGAACTTAAAACTTTATTTAATTTGTTATTAATAAAGCGACAAATGTCTTATTGATATTCTCATCAGAGTATAACAGGTGGAGAGGTATATTTATATTCTATTATTAAGCTTTTTTTATTTCATTGGAAAAGGAAAACATAACATTAATAATAAAATATTAATTCTAAATTTAGTCTGGAGAAAAAATATATATAACTGAAATAACTCATTTTCCTATAATATTTTTATTCCAGAATTTAGACACCAATTAAGCTAAGTTCAATCCCCAGAAACTTTTTAACATAGATGTTATTTTTGAATTGAAAGGTCGCATACTGAATCCATATTTTGTTTCAAACAATTTTGATTTTACTGAAGAGAAAGTTTTATAAATTATCTTTTAATGATGGTACTTACAGTGTTAGTTATGTAATCAATTAAGAGGCGAACATACTCACATATAACATGATTTATGCTTAATGTTTGGTAAATGATTTGCCAAATATTATACTGTAGATGATATCATTAAATGTTCTTATTAATTGAAAACAAAATACTATCTGAAAAAAAGTATATATATACATATCGTAGTAGAAAATATACAGTGTATTTAATGTTTTCTTCAGAATTTATAGAAACGAATGTACACTTGCGGAAAAAAGACGACCGATGCCATAGAGATAATGACTATGAATACGGAAGAAAAATAAATCACGATTATAAAACCCCATCTTAATGCCTGACCTTTATCCTATCAATGAAAAACGCCCTTTTTGAAACTGCGTGCTTGTTGATTTTTTTACTAAAATGTATATTATTATAAATCACAATACAAGAGTTTTCCAAAAAGTTGTTTGAAAATGACGTTTTTTGGGGGGATAAAATGAATGGTTTAATATATAATTTTCTTTACCAAAAAGTTGGTTATAAGATCTACGTTAGATAAATTTTGATTTTATTGCTTGATTTTAATATTTGGGTAAAAATCCTGGTTAATAATATTATCAAGAAAAATAAGCGTTTGTACATGAACTTTTGGTTAACCCCTTCAATACACTTTTAATCTGTCTTTTTTCATTTAATTTTTTGGGGGGAGGGGGGTGGGTGGGTCTTGCTGTATCATTATAATTGTTCTGATGTAGAATAATTTATTAATTACCCTGTACATGCACTCGATCACTACCTCCGGTCCATACATTCACGTTTATCGTTATCTCGCCTTTATCAAAGTGTTTAGCACAAAACTGGCGCATGTGTTTTAAAATTCAGCAGAATGAAAATCCTGCAGTTGTATTTACATTTTAAAGTGTGTTTAACTCGGTAGATCAAAACGTTTGGCATAGATCTTGAAAAAACTTTTCTTATGTCAAAACTCCTGATGCCGACATATTGCATATGTACATGTAGCTGAACAGGCACGAACGACAAATCTGCCATATGATGGTGATTGCTGTACATAAACCTATTTCTTAAATTGATACCTAAATATAAATATATAATAAATTGCAGTCTTAAGGACAAGTGATACATTTTTTTTAGAGGAGACTTAATTCATGTTACAAGTTTAGAAAAAATGAATAATTCTTAGACTTTTTTCTCTTCAGAACTGGAAAATGAAATAGACTTGATAGATATTAGTAATATGTCAGTATAATTAAAAATTTGGAAAAAAGCACACTCAGTAAAGGTTTACAGATGAAAAAAATTCAGATAGATATTTCTGATTTGTTTTCAATAGAATGAGAAAAATTATTTTTAGACATTTGTTTTGACTTTCTAGAAACAATTTGAATTCAAATATCTGTATAATATAGTTAATATTTGCTGGTTTCTTAAAGTGGGGCGAGTTGTCTTGAATGGGGGCGAGTTGTCCTTAAAAAGGGCGAGTTGTCCTGAATAGGGGGCGAGTTGCCTTGGGGGCGACCTGTCTTGGGGGCGAGTTATCCAGTATTCATTATAAATAAGTTATCTCGCTTAAGGGTTTGCTTTTGTGTTCAGCCAACTGAAACTCGTATAAAATAAAAATCTCAATATCTTAATAAATACTTCTTGCTTTTTGATAAAACTTAACCCATGGCACCTTCTATTGCAAAGCTGTCTTGAAATGTATTCAATTTGGTTGTCACTTGCAATGTCTTGCAGCAGCAATGTGCATAATACACTTGCAGGACTGCACAGCTGCAGGTCTAATAAAACAATAAAATGACATTTGTCGTATACCTATAGATAGTTGAATGTCATGGGTACAACTATTTGTTTTGTTCCTAGCAATTATATGCGTCTTTTTTCTATAGTTGTATGTTTTTCACCACCTAGGCATGTCTACCATGCGAAATCGGTGGGCTGCCATTCTCATGATTCCGGAATTGAAAACTATTGAATATTTCTCTAATCTGTTGTCTCTAGTGCCCCAATTACAC